TCAAAAATCAATTTCTACAATCTTTCCTTATTCATTATGTTCAAAATAAACATATTATTGTTCAAATAAATTAAATAGTAAACACTGTCCTGTTCGTGGTCAGAATAGAAACTCGTTTAATTTTTTTCCTTTTTGACAAGACAAAAAAAAAGAATTAGAATAAATAATAAAAATGATAATACCAAATTTTCTATTAGGTGAAACAATTTCAAACACCCATTTAAATTCTAGAAAATTTGAAGATTTCTCTGGTAAAGTCTTAAGATTTTACCAGTAGAACATGAGGTCACCAACTGTGGGTCATTTTATGCATCACCTAAATCTTACTCACAAAAGAATTTGTCAAAATTTAGAAGGAAAAAAAAAATCAAATTTAGAAAATTATCCATCAGTTATTGCTACATCTGACAACCACAATGGAATAGACGCTTCTGGACCATAAAAAAAAAAAAAACAGTAACTAACCACGCAAAAAAAAAAAAAAACATACATACTGACCTGACACTTGTTTTGTCTGCAGAACAGTATAACCTGGAAGAAAAGATGAACACTTATCTTTAAGTGAATGAAAACAGTATTAAATATTACACATATAGCATTATGCATGTTTAGTTGTATTTCTAACTGGTGCAAAAGTAAAAACACATCTAAAAGTAAACCTACAATGTTGTTTTGATAGGTGGACTTTAAAGATGCATCTCCGATTGAGGACCTTCTCGCAGCACGGACAGTGCCAGTGACTTCGTTCCTGAACTTTGTCAGAACACATACATGGAATCACAAATCTTTCTGCAAAAAAACAAAACAGGTTTACTGATTAGGGGAAAACATCTAGAAAACACATAGTTTAAAAAAAAAAACATGCATAGTTTCACAGTCAGCTAATGAGCCATTAATTAAATCATTTATTGTCAAAAAAAAAAAAAAAAAAAAATATGTGTTACTCCATAAAAAACAAATGTTTTCAAAACGATGCTTGATGTGAATATAATTAATGCATAGTAAAAGTATGAGTTTTATTGCCAGCAGACAATACGCATGACATAAAATGTTTCAAGGACATTGAAAAACTTACGGTATGAAATATTGTTCAACAAAATTCTCCAATGTGATGTTTAAACCTACCAATTTCATCCTGAATAAAATGGACGGCTATATCATAATGTCTTTTCATCAGGTGGTACTTTGAGGCAGGCACTTGCTTGAAACAGAAGAAACAATTCTCCATGGTTGAAAACCTGAGAAGGCGCTCTTTGGAGATGAAGACAGTCTGTTGCCCTGGGAGATGAAAAAAAGATTTGATTGGCTCAAAGAAAGGATGGGTGGCATCAGGAAGACATTTCTGATGCTTCAGACATTGAGTGAAATAAGCATTTCATATATAGGGTACGCCAAAAATGAATCAAACTATGCATTGTAATAAAGTATTAGAAAAGTGTTAAGCGTTTGTTTACGGAGAAGAAAGTTACTTTACGATCAGCAACAATTTTTGGCAAAATAAACATAATTCTCACCAACAGTGGCGCTGAAGGTAGATGTTTGGTTCTTGCTGTTAACTCCTGAGTCCAGAGCAAAAGGGCCAGAAGGAGAATTTTCTTCTTTAACAGCAGGAGTGATACTGCAGTCAGTGGCAAGATTTGCAGCAACCTCTGTGGTTGTAGTGTTGGTTACATGACAACCTGCACAGAAGAGATGAGAAGAAAAAAAAAATAATGAAGAGCACACCTCGTATGTTTGGGAGCAGAACCACGTACTCTACACACTGAAGGAGTGACTCTCTTTTCTATTAATCACAATTAATCAAATTTTCAGGATTTTTTTTTTGTGAGACAAAACCAAAGTGTCTACAACAAAAATAATATTTGAACAACATAAAACTTAACACAGAAAGGTTTTAAGCAGCTGCTTATTTTATATCTGAAACTACCATTTTTTTGCCATTGAATCTGTGTATGTCTTAGAAAAAACAACAAAAGCAAGTCTGAACAGTTTAGGTCTTGACTTTGGGTCGTGTGTAAGGGCTGCAGTGATTAATTGGAATAATAGCAAAGTAAAAAAAGTTATTTTGCTTAAAGAACATACTATGAGCAGTAATTACGTCAAAACTGCACAAAAAATGTTTGATTAGATTTTTTTTCTGTAAACATGTTCTACCCAGAACTCCTTAAGTTGCCTAGTTTTAGTTTCACCCATTACATTTTTGTAAAAAACAAAATGGAGAAAAATCTCCTATTTGCACCTTTTGTTATTCAGTTCTAAACAGGTTAATCGAAAAGAAAAAAAAGTAAACAGTAGGCTAAGCTTTTTACATGATTATCTTAGAAGTATTATTGAGCTGCAGATGCTTCATTTGGTAAAATGAGTATGTGTTTACGAAAGGAACCGGTTATTCCATTTTAGGCAATATTTTTTATTGATTTAGTTTAAAAGGTTAGCTGAATTCTTTATTTACATCTTTTAAAGCTTTCCCAAAATTGGACATATATTTAAAAAGGCCCACAATTCAGATGTGGAATGAGTGCACCATTTCCAACAAACTCAGGCTCTGTTGCAGTCTGTGTTTTGCAGTCTCCATCTTGTGGTCACGGATTCCACTCCATGTTTTTACAGAGTTGCGTCTTGCCTTCAGCCATTTGCTCCTGCTTTCTCAGGAATGCCTGCTGTGGGCCAAACTCTACTTATTTGGAAGAAGCCAAGACAGAACTTTGTCATGACTGATTTAGCACGATAGTGCAGGTTTAGTGAACGCAAGAGGTGAGATCATTTCAAGTGAAGACATTTAATGTTGCTTGCACTAGGAGTTCTATATAAAAGCAAACAAAAAATTGCCAAACAGGTACAGGTGTTTACTTGCAATAACCAACAACTCAACAACGGTGCTTGGTGTTGCCATGTATTCTATAGCAAAAACAAAAACAGTCACTAACATGTAAACAAGTGGTTCAAGACGGAAATCGCATCCCATAATTCACGCAAAGCCTCATGGGGGCAGGGAAAAGGGTGGCTAGTTTGTTTGAAACCGGACGCTTGCGATTAATTAAACAGGCAGACACAACGAGCCACAATTTCTGTTGAATTAACCACGCGAATCAAACCAATACGGCATGGACTGACCTTGTCTCTTTGGCAACTTTTTCTTCAGGATAATCTCCAACAGAGACGAGTGGCGCTTGTTTTCCTCCTTCAGCCGGGTGACCTCTTGCTCGTACATTTCTATAGTTTTGTCGATGGCACCAAGGATTTCCGATGTAGCAGTTCGCAGTCGCCCAGCCACAAACAGCTTTAGCTCCTCCAGTTGGCTCATTTTCGCAGTTTTACCCACTCGCGATCGTTCCGACACAAGAGAAATGCGACTCTAGTCACAGAACATTTCCGCTCTTCGCATTCAAACAGACAAGCCGCTTTTAACTTAGTACCGGTTTAAAAATGTCGCCCCCTGTCGCACCGGAGTATGTTGGACCCAAACATGAGAAGGCAATATTCAAGAAAAGTGACATTTCAGGTCGTTTTCCCCACATATTAAGAATTTTCAGAACCTTAAATTTTAAATAAATTCAGGTGACGTTCATAAAAAACGTTATTTATGCCAGTTTAATAAAATACACCCAACTTTAAGTTACATTTTGTGGTCTACAATACCAGGACAATAAAGTTGGCCAAAAATTGTGTCAATAGACATTTTTTTTATATTTCAAGTTAATTTAAGAGTTGAAGGGAAAAAAAGCAATCTCAACCACTCAGGGAATTGTAGCTTTTGTCAGCCAACCACACATCCAGGACATGGGCTTGCAATTCTTTGGTTCAACTGAGTTTATGTGAGCCAAACAGAGTTCTCAAGATTTGCTCTTTTCTGAAACTGGCAGTGGCAATAGAGCATTATAACATTTTTTGAAAAATGTTGAGCAGTGATAGAAACTGTCCACTTGGAACTTTCTGGTGATCCTAAGAGAAGATTCACTCCTCAAAGGCTTTGCTACTGGCTTCAGTCAACTTAGTCAGTGGAGTCTGCAAAAAACAGTTCATTAAAGTTCATGTACACTTAATACACATTACAAATCGTAATGCAGTACATTACTGTGTACAATTTAGCTATGCAATGGAGGTAAATCACAATGGATGGCATATATTTTAAAGAGTCCTTTATTTCTTTTTTGCCCTAGCAAACAAATGGAATGATCCACTGAGGAGGTTTGCCAGCTATATAAAAACAGCAATTAGCTGGAACTCTTGTGTGTGATTCCAGCAGCAGCTCCAAAGGAAACAGGTAACTCAACAGAAGAAGAAACATAATTTGTTGCATTTAACAAAAAACATAAAGAACTGACAGATAAAGTGAACTAAATGTGTGCACTGCAAATAGCTAACTAAAGAGTCAGGCTAATGAACATAATTTTAAAGATAAAAATCTAAACAATTCACTGATCAATTGGCAAACTAATGTTAAGGATGAACAGGAAATGATTCTGTTAAGAGATGTCCCTACTGTGTGACGGTAGGGACAGCTGTCACAGTCTAGTAAATGTAGTAAAAGTAATGCCCCATCTTGTTCCAACCCAGCTGTGCATCAGTGCTCAGAGCAAAGACCATGACGACATGAATGAGTGAGTTTGGTGTCGTGAACTTGTCTGGTCTTTAATTAGTCCTCCAGTCAGTTGAACTGAGCAGCCTTGCGCTCTTGGTCAACGTTGGTGCCTGACCTTACAAAAGCCATGATAAAAGAATAAATGCTATCGACTGACTTCTCAGGGTTGAAGTTGTTGTGGCTGCAAAAATTAGGCTAGCAGCATATCAGGACAGCCTGTGCTTTAAAAATAGTATGATACTAAGGTCCATGTGTAAAGACACAACCCCAATACATTGTGTTGCTGTATATTTTATTGTGACATTGTCCTACTCAATTATTCTGCCTACTTCTTCATGTTTGTCTGTTTGCTGCATGTTTGTAGGCGTTTCTTACACAAATGACAAGAAAAAAAAAAACAACAAACCTTTTTCTTAAATGTAGGTAACTTTATTTAAAGAACAGTCTGCAATTCAATTCTAATTGTCAAGATTTGAAATGTCATAAAATATCCATTTCTGATTTTAATTTGCAAAGCAAAATCAGGTCCTTTTTTCATCTCTAAATATATTTTCAATTAAAAAGCTTTGAGCTGAGCAAGCCTGCAAGCAGATTGACTCTTTATATTAATCACAATAATCTCAGAAGACTGTTATCTGGAGACAACCTACATGAGGTAATAAGGCATTGGAAATGTTGAGCAAAACCAAGAGTAAAACTATGCAAAACAATCAAATAATGCAATTTCAGTGCTTTTGGCGTGTCCAAGTTGTCTTCAGGTGGTCTAACTTGTGCATTTGGAGGAAGAGGGGTTGCATTGGTATCCATACTCACAGCAGTGCTTACCATCCGCACAGCACACGCCCTGAAAATTATTCACAGAGTTAAAACAAAAGTAGTCACAAAGGTTTTACAATCAAGCAATAGTCATGCTATATTTCTGGACAGAATAGATAGAGTTTCTGTATCCCAAATTACTTTTTACTTTATCCTTTTGTTTGTACCATTCCATCTTCTATTGTGAAGCACATAACTGTTAAAGTGCATGCCAATGATTCCCAAACAACAGATCAGTTGTGTAAGTCATACCAGTGAGTAAGGACAGCAGTTCCACTTGTTTCCGGGTCCCTTGCAGCAGCTTGAGCCACTTGGGCAGTAAAATTTGTCATCACAGCGAATGACTCCCTGATTGAAGGGGTTGACACTGGCTGCTGTCAGCGCAGTCAGTGCTGTCTGCAAAATTAAGGTAGAAAATAAAATTTGATAAAAACTAAACATACAAGCTGGCTATTCTTCTCTATCTGTTTAAATTTATTTTTAATATTCATTTTTGTCAATCTTTTTATTTTCTTTAAGGTGCTATACATTTGTGGCCGCTGAGGGGACCAGAAATATAAATGGGAAGAAAAACTGCCATACTGTTGCATACCTCCTTCTTAGTGCTTCTGTTCTCAGACACTGAAAGAAGAGAAGCTGGGACTGAAGTCAGAGACTTTTTGTAGGTGAACAGATCTTCCAGTCTTTCTCTGACACAATGAGTGTAAGTGTGGTCACAGTCGTATCCGTACGGACAACAGTGGAAGCCGTCCAGGCAACATTTTGCCTACCAGACAAAAACAACGTATGTAGAAATTAGTTAAAGAACAGCAAAACATGTCTTCAAGAACTGGATTGAAGAAAAAAAAAAAAAGAATTTCTCCCAGAAAGTGATTAACTACTTATCAATTTGCAGGTCTACTTACAGGAGAATAGGGGCAGCAGGTCCAGCCACTCTTTGGGTGTTTGCAGCAAGTCGTGCCATCGGGACACACGGTATAGCTGTCACAGTAAACGCCTGAACTTTTTAATTCTTCTGGGGAATTGTTTTGTTTGACCTCCTCAAAAGGGGTCAGAGAGAGATCAGGGGTGCTCGACACCTCTGCAGCCACTTTCCTCGCCATCGGTACGGCGATCCATGGTTGGTATTGCTTCACACACATCTGAGTGGCAATCTCACAGAGATAACCTGAGGGACAGCAGTGGGCTAAGTCACTGCAGCAGACAGCCTTCACCCAGACAAATGCAAGGAGAGAGAATCAGAGACAAGTTTTTTTTTTTTCAGCCTACTACATCACATCAGCGACTTAAACATTTCAGCGTTTAAAAGAATGTGACGTACCTTTGGATACGGACAGCAGCTATATCCACGAGCAGTTTGGCAACAGGTTTCCGTATCAGAGCAGGAGACCCCATCAGGACATCTGATGGAGCAAGATGCAAAGCCCCACAGAAACACTCCTATACACAGCCACGCAGTCATCCTCAACATCTAATGGAGAGAGAGAGTCACTATTAATTTTTCTAGTATGAGCAGCTGCAGTTTATAGATATTTGATTGTTTCAACAAGACAACAGCGGTTCACAGCTCCTGTCTGACAAAGGCTTCCTCCAGAACCATAATATCTGATTTATTGGACCACCCTGATGTCAGGTTTCCAAATTGGGGACCAGTTCTAGATTACTGATGTCCCTTAAGGAACAGCACATGAATCAGTTTTCCCACCAGGGTAAACCCAGGCACTTTCACCAAGATAATTTTAAAATATGACCAATATGAATTGTTACTCTGCTTCCTTCTTGTTCCCGTTTCTTCTTTTTGTATTTTGATTAGCTTATGCCACAAATATGACCCAACGACACAAAAGCCAAGACCTTCTGAGCCATTTCATGTTCACGGCTTAAAAGAGGCCGAATCATTTTTCCCACGACCAACAGAAACCTTCTCAAGACAACACAGAAGTGGGTCTGCTGACACTTAGTTTGTGGTGTTCACTTCATTATGACTCAACAAGTTTAAGTTATTCCGCATTCCTAAACAGATTAGTGATCATTGTAACCCTGTTTTAAGCCTTGTTGCAAAATTATGAAAAGTGACCCACTCAGAAATGTGGGTCATGTTTACTACCCAGCCTCATCACCAAAAAAAGAACACAGCATTTAAGCAGTCACCATAAATCTTTAGTGGGGTTACGGTCGGGGCTTTGAGAAACAAGCTTGCCAGTGTGTTATGGATCAGTTTTCTGTTGTAACATCCAACTGTGTCCGAGGTTCAATCATTAATCCGAACTGCACTGATCTACCACCATCGGATGGAAAATAATTCCAAAAATGAGTCATTGCCTATAGTGTAAAAGAAACTGCAGAGAAACAGCTCTCTTAGTCTACTTTGAAGCCAGTCTTAAATTACAATAAGCTAAGAGGATGTGAGACAAGATAGAAACACCTGCCTCAAAATGGACAACTTCTAGCTTCACTTCACACTCTCCATCGACAAGTCAACTGTATCAAGAAAAATGTTTCATGCTCAAATGAGACAAAGATCAAACACAAAATTAAGCAGCCATCACCATGCTTAATAATTTTATGTGTGTTTGGAGAAATAATCCCAAACACAGAAGATGAAAACAAGATTTGAAACAGATAAACCAGGCTGACAGGATGCTCCTGAAGTGGTCCTAACTTCATGCCACTTATTCTAGGAATACAATTTACAGCCATTAAAGTCAAGTTTGTGGCAACCAATTCCAATCATGAACCAAGATGATATATCCAGGCAGAGTTACGCCACACGCTTGCTGATGTTGACAAAGTGCTTGCAGTCAAAGTGAAACTTGCTAAGAGACATTCAACCAAATAGAAGGGTGTTTGTGTACATTTGAGCCTGTATGTACACACTCACCCGATTCAAGTTAGTAGCATTGCATGTCGTGTTTCAGGTCAAGTTGATCAAAACAGAATGATTCAAATAAATCAGTAAAAGTCAGAACAGGATATTCGGGCCAATGACGTTTTTAAGTAAAGCTTTCACCGAAGCCGTAAATTATGGTTGATAAAACAGCTACATGTAAAAAAAAAAAATTCAAGAAGATTTATTACTTTTACCTTCTGCCAATGAAGTGATTGAAAAGCTTCCTGTCACAAGGTTCACACTTCCCTTAAATGGTGCGCCACACTCGCTCTTTATAGCAGAAAGTAGGCCCTCCCTCTGCATAGAGTCAAGATGAATGTTTTCGGGCTTAAGAGAGGAGATGGGTGTTGTGACCTTTGTCCAAGGCTGCAGGCGCACATGCAATCATTCAGTCATAAAACTGGTCCAAAACGTCTAAGTCAAACACAATGAAGCTTCGAGTTATATAGAAACATGCCAAAAGCACTCCAGAGTTTTAGACTTTAATTTTAAAGATTACAGACATTTATTCCTGGATTTTAACAGTTCACAAATCTTTGTGCAAATGAATCCAAAGCTTATTCCTGTATATCCACCTTTCCATGTCTGAAATGGTTATATAATTAAGAGGTTTTTATATCTTAATTCTTTAAACTCTTCAACAATTTATCCCTATGAGTAAACTGTGAAAGAGTTAAGCTCCTCCATTTGGTATTTAATAATTTTATGTTGTCAGTGCAATACAATTACCTCCTTAAGAAACACACTTCACTTTGCTTTTGCTGTAACGCATTTTTTATTTCTGGAGAAATGAAACTGTTGGGTTTGTGGCATGTCTAGACCTGATACTTGATAAAGAAATGAAAAAAGTTTGAGTATTCATTATGTCTGAAACTTAAAAACCTATAATAAGTTCAACTAAGTATAGAAGCCCACATTTTATTGCAGCTTTATATAAGACCTTTTCTTTACTGTAAGGATCTTGTTTGCATGGTTGTGTGGTGAAGGTCATTAGCAAATTGACCTCAATCCATTTTCCTTCTGTTGCTTCTCTTGTTCCTCCTCAGTTTAGTCTTTGGGAAGAATAATCATTTAAATGACATTGCAGAAAGAAGAAGTCTTGGGATAGGTGCACCCCAAGACGAAGTAAAAAGCATGACTGCCTGGAATGTTTTACTATTTCTCAATAACAAAGTTTTTACATTCAGGTCTAAGAGGAAGTTCTGAATCAATCACCATTAAACATTTCAGACTAAAGTTTCGTTTCCAACTGCTAAATGAGCAATGCACCCTTAAAAAAAATGTTCAGTGGTAATAAAGTTCAAATAAAAGGGAGGATATGTATTACCAAAAATATATTAATTTAGATTATTTTCAAATAGAAAACTATCTTCTTTTTTTAAAAATAGTTTTTGTAAAGCAGCTTTATGGCATTAACAGGAGGAAGTATCAAAGAATCAGTTTGAATCCTTGCCCAGGTGCAGTTTATCGATTTGGCGACCAGTGTTGATTCTGTTTGTGCAAGTTTCTGCAACTTCCATGGTTGCACAGCGTTATGAGTCAGACAATCCCCACAGAATCAGAAAATCAGGCAGAAGACTTGTTGCTTTTCCATCCGGACAGAAGGAAGTGAGCTACCAATGCTGCTATTAGATCAGTTGGTTCAGAAAACAAAAACAGCACTGCTGGTTTAAATGCTGCATGTGTGTAGTTGGAGGTTTAAATCAGAGTGAACAGAGTTAAAAACACAGCACTCCACTTACTTTTGGAAAAGCCTCAGCACCACCATTAGCAGGAATGTTTTGATACCTTATTATCTTATAATATCCTACATGTTGATGCTTGTACGGCCTGGCTCTTCTGCACACCCGGTGCTGGATGTTTGCCTCAAGTTTGCCTAGAAAAGGCCTGGGAAATATAAAATACAATGCTTATAGAAAGCATTCGCCCCCTTGTCTGATTTTTTCCTTTTTATTGCTTTAACAAATCAGTCACGATCAACAAATCTGACATTTTGAATAACCACACAGACTCCTTGCTGCGATTGCTGTCAAAGATGCATTTAATAAATACTGACATGAAGGTGGTGAACCTTTGTGCAGTCACTTATTTTATGCTAAATCGAGTAATTAAACTTTCATTGTTTTGCAGAAATCAGTTTCAATTTGAATTTTGTTTTGGTAATTTGTTTTGAAAAACACAAATTTTGTTGAACAGAACTGATTTCTCAAGCCAACGACACAAAAAGGTAAAACATTGAAGGGGTGAATACTTTTCATAAGCACCATATACTATAAAATATGTTGTCTTGTTTTTGCACTTAGAGCCACGTTCATCTGAACTGTGCAGCTTCCTGTGCATGAAGGGTGTGGTTCAAAACTTGATCAAAGATGATATGTAACTGAAGGATTATATCCATGAGTAATTCATATCCTCAGAATACTACAACAATGGAGAAAGTCACACAAATTCTTTATTGTTTCTTGTAGCTAAACATTCACCTGAAGTAACATAAAGGCAGGAAGATTACATATGACAGTCATAATAATCACTACAAAACATAAGTGAGTCACTTAAGAGATTTTATTGGGAGTGTGTGCTTATCATTAGAGAAGAAGTGGCCAAGTAAAAATGAATAATGTGATTTGAGTATTTTTGCTGTGTTCCTGTGGTCATCATCTTCTGTCTTCCGCATGTGGTGGAGAAGGAGGCTCCATAATTTTACGCTGACCATCAGAACAGCAAAAACCCTGAAATTATATGCAGTATTAAAGACAAATAAGGACAAATCTTTCTTACACATTCATATCTGTATATGTGGTAAAGAAAGACTGTAAATTTCCACAATTGCTATTACTTGTCCCACCACATCTGGAAATGTGCAGTACGGCAGGGCTAAATGTCCAAATTCAGTTATTGCTGAACAACTGAACAGAAAAATGAACCGTACCCGTTAGTTAGGACAGCAGTTCCACTGGGCGTTGAGTCCCTTACAGCATCGTGAACCATTTGGGCAGTAAAAGTGTTCATCACAGCGAATGACTCCCTGCTCTTTGGCTTCTCTTAGAGCTGTAAATACTGTCTGTGAAAATAAGGACAACGTCATCATATGTTTTTTTTTCTTTCTTTTTTTCGTCTCCTCGCTACATATTTTAGCATCAGTATGTTTCATGCACAACACATTAATACGATACTTTCGGAAATATTAATCCTCCAAGCACTTAAAAATGTGTCTTTGTTTTACAGAATGTGTCATTTTAACATAATAGGGCCTCTACTTATTTTGACCACTAGGGGAAGCAGGAACAAGAAGATGAAAGTTAAAAGAGAATGGCTAAAAATCAGAATGCTGCCACTACTATGTTTCACCTTGGGGATGATGTGTTACATCAGAGTCTTTGGTTGTAACATCATAACATGTGATGAAATTAAAGGCTCTTGAATACTTATGCAACGGATCATGGGTAAAGACAGAGTCATAGGTTTTACCTCCTGCTCATTGTTTTGGTCTTCATTGGCTGGAAGGAAAGAGGCAGGGACTGAAGTCAGAGCTTGTTTGTAGTTGAACGGATACGCCAGGCCTTGCCTGGTGCAGCGAGTGGAAGTGAGATCACAGTCGTAACCGTATGGACAACAGTGGTAGCCGTCCAGGCAACATCTTCCCTATAAGACAACAGATGCAGTGAGATTAAAAAAACGGTAGCCTTTTGCAAAGTTTCAAAACAGATCAATAGGTGATGAAAGAAAATACAGCAGGTCAAATTTGCATTCAGCTTTTGCTGTTTTTTTTACCCTTTACTCCATTTGTGAGCTAATCTGCTTTGACATGTTTCTAAGTGCTCAAGTTGCTCTGCTGTGAATTTTATGCCAATGGCCTCATTAGAAATATTTAAACTTGTGCAAACATCAATGTGCTGAATACTTATCCTCACTATATTTCCTATAAATTCCTTTGTGACAAGAAACATTTTTCAGCTCACAGATCTACTCACAGGTGAGTATGGACAGCAGGACCAGGCACCCTTTGGATGTCTACAGCAAGTCGTACCATGAGGACAATAACGAAAGTGGTCACAGTAGACAACTGTGCTCTTTATCTGGTCCGGGACGTTGTTGTCTTCAACCTTCTCAAAGGGGGTCAGAGACAGATCAGGTGTGCTCGGAACCTCTGCAGCCACTTTCTCCACCATTGGTATCCTGATCCAGGGCTGGTATTGCTTCACACACATCTGCGTAGCAAGGTCACAGCGATATCCATAGGGACAGCAGTGGGCCTTGTCAGCACAGCACACAGCCTGTAGAAACATCAAAAACACTCAATAAGAATAACTGGCACCAGGCGTTTAAAGGACATGATGGTTGAAGGCATGTGGCTTACTTTTAGATATGGACAGCAGCCATATCCATGATCAGTCAGGCAGCATGTCGACGAATCAGCACAGGAAGTGCCATCGGGACATCTGATGTCACAAAAAGCAGAGCCCCACAGAAAGACTCCGACACACAGCCACAAAGTGCTGCTCAACATCTAGTGGAAAAAGGGTGAGAGTTGTTTTTGTTTTTCTTTTTGCGCCATAATCTTCGCATTTCAACTTTTGCCCAACTTTTCAACTTTTGCCCACAGTTAAAGTAACTGGATAGTGTATAATACATTGCATCAAAGTAAAACAAAAGAAAAAAAAGTTAATTTTAAGATATTTGCAATTTCTTACCTTCTGCACATGAAGTGATATGACAGTTTCTTGTCACAAGGTTGGAACGTTGCTCTTTATATACAGCATTGGACACTCCCACTGATACAAACCCAGAAAAGCCTTTCTTCAGGTTTGCTGATTAATTATTTCCAGGGTGGAAAACACTCCCACAAAAACCTATCTTGATGAGCATGACATACATTATGAGGTGGTATTATTGACCTTTGGTTTCCCAGTCACAAGACTGAAACTCAATAGCAATTCAAACCAAGCTGACCGAGTGTAATAAACCTTGGATTTGTACACCCAAAGCCTGTGCAATACTTTTCAACTACAGACCGTTTTGTTTTTAAAGCAATTCAACCTTATTATTTTAGTCTCATCCCAAGCACATATTCCTCTAGGTTTACGTAATTTACTTGGTAAGTACAAATTCTCCAAAGTCTTAATAGCCGAAGTGTTATTTTTAAGTGTAAGGGGTTTCTTCTCTAGCAAATTTGAAGCACTCTGAAATGTTTTTTCCATTTTGTTTTTGAACTCTTTACATTCATGTCAACAGCACAATGATGCAATTTCTACATAACTGTTGGGTAAATGATCTCTAACCGGTACGAG